ATATTCTTTACATACTATAATATGTCATTTTTTAGCATTTTTTCAACAATAAAATTCTACCACTAAAGCAAATACACCACAGAAGAATGCCTTTGAAACAGTCAAATTCATTTATTACAAGAACATATACAAAATATACAAATAAAAATCCTAGGTTGAAAGGCAGAAACACCAGCAGCCCCAGCACCAGAGACTTCTCTCCTCTGCTGTTGGCACTGGAACTTTTAAAGAGCAACTTCCAGGTTAAAGACACCTGTGAATAAATTTGTAGGAAAATTATGAATACACTAGATTTTCAAAAAAATATACAGAAATATACACTACAGTGACATCTGGCGTCGTTTTTGTAAGAAATGTTCACTTCCGCATAAAAAAGCCTCGGCACGTGACCTCCCGCGTGTGACGTAACACGGGGGACACAAGGGGGAGAGCGGCCGGTGTAACGTATTAATAAACATGGATCCCAATGCTAGTTTCGACACAGGAGACACAGAAGAAGTTGAACATGAATATTCGAATGCATATGACGGACCACAACCTTATAATTATGAGCCTGCTAGGCGTCCAAGAGACCAGGAGCAGCCAAGGATTAGAAGAAATAACGGCCATCGGAGAGAAATTGAGCTGTGGTGTGAGGAGAACCAGTGGAGAACTGGGCAGCTATCTTGGTGAGTGACCGGCGTTAGCTACAGAATGTTAGCTAACGTCACATCACAACATTGTAAAGTTAGCTATCATATATCAGGCTATAACTAAAGTAGCATTGATAATATAGTAACGTTAAGGACTGTTGATACAGATCCATAACAGAAACTAATGCGCAAGTATCAGCCGTATCTCGCGTTACCTAATGCAACTCCACACTACGGGCTGTGTACCGGAGGGGAGACGCGAGATACGGCTGATACTTGACGATCTGGCGGAGAAAGGTTGTGGAGCCTCCGTTGATATGTCGTTGTAAATGGCTTGATGGAAAGCAGGTGTGTAGTCGGGGAGGGTGCACAGCTGATTGCAGCAGGTGAGTGGAGGTTGAGCCGGGAGCCAGGAGTGACAGCCACCACGCACACACAAACAACACAGACAGGGAGAAACACAAAGGAGACGGCTGGAGCAGTACAGCCACCACAGCGTTACGTAATGAAACTCCACACTTTGTCTTACGGTGCCGTGTACCGGAGGGGAGAGAGAGAGAGCAGCGAAGAGGGGGGAGAGAGAAGTAATACGGTTTCCTGATAAAGCTGTGGAGAGTATGTGCTGCAGGGAGGTGGATGCACAACGCACCCAGGAACGAACGCTAGCTCCGGTCCTTTTTACTGTGGACTCGATGTCCTGACAGGCTGGTATTTGTGCAACCTGCACAAACACAATACTGCACCATGATTACAAATGGTGAAATACAATGTAAAACTACCGAAAAATACCAGCTCACTAAAACACAACCGCTCTGCTCAACGCAATTCCACTATACCCGCGGTCAGAGAGCGGAGATGTATCCCCTGTGTGATGTAATATGACGCGTTTGACGTATGACCTTAAAAAAAAGCCGTTTTTAAGAGCAGAGCTCAAAATTGCTCCTTTCCCTCTGAATTCCTGCCCTTATGTCTCGTAAAACATATCAAATCCTGCATTCACTTTTTTAATTGTAATTTTCAAGCAAGTTTAAGCATAAATGTAGAAAAAATAAAAACCTGCAAGATGCTCTTTAAGCACTTCATTTTCCATGTGTCCATCGTGCATCTCCTTGCAGCAATGCAGGACACAATTGACACAATTGAGTTGTACTGATAAACATATTTCATTAATTTAACAATAGTTGTTTAATTAAGTTGAACTTACTATTTTGTATTAATTTATAATAGTTTTAATTGTTTTTATTGGGTAAAACTTTACAAGTTAATAATAACTATTGAATTGAGTTATACTTATCATTTCTATGTAATTCCTTTACAATTTTTTTTTATATACGTTATTTTCTTGCTTATTTTCGACATACTGTACTATGTGTTTTTATCTGAAACGTTCGACATGACGTTTTTTATTATAGTTTTCGACATACTGTACTGTGTTGTTTTGCATAATTTGAACATACCAACATACATACGTATGTTGTGTTTAAAAAAAAGATATATAAATACTATACTATGTCGTTTTTTGGCATATTTTCGACATTAACACGATGTAGTCTTTTCTGAAAAAATCTATTCACTATACTGTAATTTCTTTGCATTTTTTCCACATATTATACTATGTGTTTTTTTCTGAAAATGTCCACGTAGTCTGTCATTTATTCGCATTTTTACAACATATTAACTATGTATTCTTCCCAGAAATTATGCTCTTTTTCCTAAAAAAATGTTATTCACAGACTACAAAACCGACAAAAAGTTCTCAGTTTGGTATAAAAATTGCCTGCTATTTGATTATTATTTAATAATAGTTATTTAATTGAGTTTAAATAACCATTTTCCATTAATTTACCACTAGTTATTAATTTAAGGTCTGATTTTTCTGATATTTTCGACATACTCTTTGCTGCCATTTTCTCTCATGTAATAATAATAAAAATTATTATAATTATTATTATAACAGATAAATAAAAAAGTAAACAATACTACAATGAGTTTTTCATGGCATTCATGTGATGTGTATTTTGAGATAACTGTGAGGACTTTTTGGGATCAAGGACCCCCAACAACATACAACACAGTGTATTCACAGATAAACTCACAAACACCACATTCAAAAACCATTACAGACATAAAAAGTTGCTGATGTATCATTATCCCAAACTATAATGTTGTGTTTGTTTTACGTTGTCGGGGCCAACAGGTCAGGGCGTGACATTCCTGGATGTGAACGCTCACTGACTCTTTGACAAACACCAGTAGGACATTGCAGAAGGATGTGAGAGAGAAGCTACAGTGTACTTTTAGATCACAAACACTAATCTCATTAGCATAATGAGCTTACACTACACATATTGACTCTGCCAAGAGTGCTACTGCGTTTCCTAGAAGACAATAATCTATCTCAACACAATTCTAAAATACTGAATAATATTTGACCTCTGATGTATTTTTTCACTGAAGTATAGCTAATTTTAGATTACAAAAGTACATTTTCAGGAAAGGGACATCACTTTTTGACCATCCTTATGTGTATGGGTCTTCATTTGGCATCTTCAAGCACAGACTGTCATTATTGTTTCACCACTGTATACACTTGGTGGGTTTAACAGATACTGATATGGTGCCATTGGTTGGTTAGAGGGGGTAATGAGTTTAGAAAAGAGCTGTACATGTACAATATTTGTTTGTCTGGCAGCTAGTCAGCCACTGTCTCCTACTGTGCCATAAACAGTTATATCCTGGTGGCTTTGCACACACAGCAGGCCTCTCCTGGCCATACTCTCTCTCAATTCATCTCCTATTGGCTAGCTTTCAGCTCCCCACATGTGATAAGTCTTAAAGGGCACCGGTTCACCAAAAACAAGAGGGGATTTATCATCTCTAAACTCCTAAATCTGTGATTAATGGTAACTGGACTTGTCGCTACATAGGGGAGAGTTCAGGGAATTAAACGTGGAGGAATGCATCATCCGTATCCAGCGTTGTAAACACTTTAGCCTTGACCTTCCACTGTTGATTGGTCTTGGACGTCAGCCGTGTGTGTTGTTAACAGGCGGAGCAGGGTTTTTTTTGTGTGTGGGCAGTCACTGGATGACTGCAAAGCTGGCCGTCTGGAAGAACGTGCCACACACTCTGCCTCGGGACTCATGGAGCATGAGTCAACGTGGAAAGGGCCGTGCAGACATTTTCACATGGCGATGACTTGCTTCCAAAAGGCCTACATGAACATCAAGATGATATAATCTCTTAATAGAACACACAATTGACAGGAATCATCCTTGGCAACCCTGGTGCAGAAACACATCAAGAGCTAAAAGTAGTGAGACACAGATGGCAAAACAACACTCTCCAAATGACATGCAAAAAAGTTGTGAATGCCTATGTTCAACCATGCATACATGCATGGGCTTCATCTTTAAATGTAGGCAGATGGGTTAAACTTTCTTTGTTTAAGAACTTGATATTGATTGAATCATACTACTATTTAGATTTAACATTGAGGCATGGCAAAGAAAAACACTTGTTAGTCTTATGTTAGTCTTTGTGTTTGACTCCAATGTCTTTTATTGTTATCAAACTATTTTGAAGTGCAATTCCAGGCAAAACAATAACCAAACGTTTTTATTAGATGTTTTATAAAGAAGATGTTAAATGTTTTTTGTTTTTTTTCTTCTTGTTTTCCCTTTATTTGAAAGAGACACCCATCTCACTGCAGGGAATCCTTGTCAAACTCAAGTAACTATTTAAAATCAATAAAAACATGTATGTCGTAAACGTTTAGATAACATGCCTATACTGAAAACAGCCTTACAATAACAGATGTATTCACCTTAATTATCAGACCTAAAAACAAATATATATTTCTCCTCTTCCAACTGACACTATACAAAATCAAGTATCTCCTCAAGCTATAAGTCAAGTGCGTCATAAGGTGATTTCCTGTGTAATTTACTGATGACACTAGGTGGCATCAAATTACTGCATTTGAGATCTGCTGCACTCCTCATGTGAGACTAATGAAGTGTGAGTTTAAGTATGTCCTCTCATTATATTTCAGTGTGACAGACAATGGTCTGTCAATATCACTGCAAATATAGAAGCAAATCATGTGAAGCACACACTCCTACCAGAAAAGCTCAGGGGAAGCTAAGACCTCACTCTACACTCGCCAATGTTTATCAACAGAAATCCAACCGGAGCCCCACACTGCTGATCCCAGACCAGCTTCTCCTCGCGTTATAGCCCCACCCCAAACAGAGGCGTCACCGAGACGTGAGGACGCAGCACTCTCCTCCTCCGTCCCGGAGCAAAGCATCATCAAAATCCTCATCCATCAGCTCCTCTCTGTCTCTCCCCTCCGCTGTCTTTTTAATGTAACTTCTGACTGATTGGGAGAGCACGGAGCGTCTGGAAAGCCTGGACTCCATCTCTCGTGAAGGATCTGCTCGCACGGTGTTCTGTTCAAAGTGGACACACAGGAACGAACAAGGATCAGACAGATTGTATATTCTTTTTGGGATAACATTGCTTTACTCGATGGATTTTGGCTCAGTGTTTTTTGTCTTTATGTGTTAATCTCTGTGGATGTTATAGTGTCTCATCTCAGTCTGAATGAAGCTTTCTTTTTGGATTTTCAACAGACCGACACTGTTTCTGGGTGACTGAAGATTTTTAAAGGCTACTTGTAAAGTCGCGCGCTTTAATTGTATCACCGTTATTCTATGAGCTTTTTTCATATTATTAAATTGTAACTTGTACTTTATTTTGTCAAACAATGCTGCAGTTTTCCTGAAGGTGCGTTAGTAATTAACGAGACTAAATAGTGCGGTTCAATTGTCGCTGAGAAAATAGGAAAGTTGGGCGCTCAAAGTTTCAGAGACTATCGACATGGCTATGGTGGCGTGGAGAAACACCGAGGGCGTCGGGGACTCTCAGGGGACCCTCTCCTCCCCGGTGTCCCAGGTTGCTCCTCTGTCTCTGCCCGGGGAGCTTTCGGGACACATGAACCCGGCGTCTTCTCTGGAAATACCCCAGGCAGCAGCAGCACACCAGGGCGCACCGCTGCCCAATCCGTCCAGCACCACTACTACCACTACCACCAACAACAACAACAACACATCCTCTTCCTCTTCTTCCTCCTCGTCCATGGACAAACAGCAGAACCAGCAGATCGAATGCATCGTGTGTGGGGATAAATCCAGCGGGAAGCACTACGGACAGTTCACATGTGAAGGATGTAAGAGCTTCTTTAAACGCAGCGTCAGGAGGAACCTGTCATACACCTGCAGGGCCAACAGAAACTGTCCCGTGGACCAGCACCACCGTAACCAGTGCCAGTACTGTCGCCTCAAGAAATGCCTCAAAGTCGGCATGAGGAGGGAAGGTACGGCTGGCGTCCTCTTTATGTTGTTGTTATCTAATCGTATTATCCAGCAGTAAACGGTCCTGGACACTATTATGGTTCAATAAATGCTCACAACGTATCGAATTAATTTTGTATGCGTTATTAATGTTATGTTCTGCATGATAAATATAGTACCTTTGTACATAGCCTGATTTATTCCTGGACACAGCCGTTTGCCTTTGTCTAAACTCAGTGATTTTTTACAAATATGTTTCCGACCACTCCCATAGTATATCAGCATATTTATCGTAGATATTCTTTACGTTACATAGCCTAGCACACTGTCCAGCCCGTGATATCAGAGAATGTCACAGCTAGCATATGCTGCGTGTTTATTATTGTGCTACTCGCCCGCTCTATGTCCGTCCAACATGGCCATTGTGTGACCCAAGCAGCGCGAGGCTGCTTTAATGTCGCATGTTTAAATTTTCTACACACATTTTGCTACGTTTTGCTTAATTGTCTAGGTATTTGTGTTAGCACTAGAGTGCTTGATATTGTTGGCAGATTATGTAGCATATTGATATGCATGTGACTGTGTGTGTGACTGTGTGTGTGTGTGTGTGTGTGTGTGTGTGTGTGTGTGTGTGTGTGTGTGTGTGTGTGTGTGTGTGTGATTCATTATGCGTGCTGGTCGTACAGGCCCAATCTAGCATACTGTAGCGTGTGCCTGCTCATGCTTCCAAACTTAACAAAAGCACATTTAAAAGTTAGAATAACTTGAACATTTGAATAAAAGTCGAATATAGTTTTCAGCACCAAAAATTACAGGGGGGGGGGGACATACACAGTTAGTGAAGGCTACAGTGAAAATAAATAGGCTACAAGCAAAGTTACTTGCCACAAACTAGCAAATATTAGTGGGCATGACTTCAAGTAGGCTATATGCAACCGTTTTGGCTTTGAAGATAAATAATAAAAGGTTTTTTCAGGACCGAGCTGAATTGTTTTCAGGAATTGTCTAAAACACGTATTCACGTCTATTTGTTAAGAGCTAGTCCACGATAGCCTGTTGACCGTAGAAATGAACTCTCATAGCTAAGAAGCTAGTATCATTTCTGTGTCTACATTTTGACATCACGGTTGCTTTAAAAAAATATCTATCGTTAACTGTTTCTTTTTAAATGTATTCTTTCTCGTTTTTATCGCATTTAGCTTGATTTGACATTTCTGCTTTTTTTTTTGCAGCTGTGCAGAGAGGCAGACTGCCCACCCAGTCTTACCACGGCCAGTTTGCTCTGACAAACGGAGACCCTCTGCAGTGTCACTCCTATTTATCGGGATACATCTCTCTCCTGCTGCGGGCCGAGCCCTACCCGACCTCCAGGTTCGGCTCTCAGTGCCTGCAGAGCAACAACATCATGGGCATCGAGAACATCTGTGAGCTGGCGGCCAGGATGCTCTTCAGCGCCGTGGAGTGGGCCCGCAACATCCCTTTCTTCCCGGACCTGCAGGTGACGGACCAGGTCGCTTTGCTCCGCCTGACATGGAGCGAACTGTTCGTGCTGAACGCCGCCCAGTGCTCCATGCCCGTTCACGTCGCCCCGCTGCTGGCCGCCGCAGGGCTCCACGCCTCCCCGATGTCTGCGGACCGGGTGGTTGCCTTCATGGACCACATCCGAGTCTTCCAGGAGCAGGTGGAGAAGCTCAAGGTGCTGCACGTGGACTCAGCAGAGTACAGCTGCATCAAGGCCATCGTGCTGTTCACAACAGGTAAACACAAATTTATCTGAACACAGCCATTCAAAGATGCAAAGCTTCCATCTTGAAAGTGTAGGCATAGCAGTGTTAGTAACAGATACATATCCTGTCAAACAACTACCAGTATGAACAAAAAAATGATGTTCGAGTTAATATAAGTAATACAGTTGGCTACAGCATGCACTAAATTAAAATTAAAGATGGTTGGATAGTGACTATTTGGCCTTAAATACCAGCAACTATGTATAACTGTATGCAATGGGACACAATAGCTGATAAAAACAACACATCATTTCTTAAATAATATTTTCGTAAAAATGTAATAAAGGCAAAAAGATACAGGAAAGAGAAAACAATCTTGTTTCCTATTAATATTCTTGTCAACATAACACATATATATTTACCTCTTATTGACCTTGTAAAATGAACTATGAGCTCACAGTCTTTCTGTATTATGAAGGCAAGGCAAGGCAAGTTTTATTATATAGCACCTTTCAACACAATGCAATTCAAAGTGCTTTACATAGTAAATAGTCCAGCAGAAACACATTTTAAACTGGCATTTAATAACAGTTATTAAAAAGCATTAAGTGGGTTTACAAACTGCATTAAATCTTGCAGCCTCGAAAAATATAAAACACTCATTATACAGAAGCCTATGCATTTGAATAAAAACATGGCTGAAAATTCATTTTTCATAGCATTTAGTATTTTTGATAGAAGATGTATCAGTAAAGTTCTTTTTCAAATATACTGTTTTGACCAGTTTTGATATTTGATAATGTATTTGTGGGCTTTATATTTTTGCATACAATTATTTAAGAAGTAATGCATTAAAACATTTAAATATATATATATATATTAAAATCAAATGAATGCCATTGTTTAAAACACAAATTACTCAATTAGAAGCGCACAAAGATGTATTTATTTTTGCTATATCTTTACATTGTTACACTGGAGAAACAGATTATTTTCTGAAACAAGAGAAACTGGTTGGCACAGCAAAAGGCGTAATATATATTTCATAGCCTTTTAATAACAGATGTTTGATGGCTGGATTGTGAGCAGCATCAAAAGGGTGAGTTGCCACTGACAAAAAAATACAGAAAGGTCTCCTGTGTGTGTACTGGGTCTATTTTAGGCCCCATGAGCACATCTGAACAACACGTGTATTCAAACTGGGACATAGAAACCATTCTTTAACCCTGGCTGCTGTCATCCGGCCTGCAGCGATACAGTACAAACAGAGGCTTCTGCTGAGTGTAGAACACACACACACACTCAGTCTGTAAAGGTCTTATACGGTTACAATCATACTGTTACCTTATCTCTTGATCTGAACATCGTTTTCTAGATTTAATGGGAGCGAAATGACGGGAAGTACATGAGAATTTATTTTCTTCAAGCTATTGTGTTTTTAAAAATGCAATTTTATAGATCTCACTAATTTGCATATGAACCTGCTTTACTTTTCTGTTACTATCTCACACAGACTTACTCAGATCTACCTTTGAAAAAGAACACAAATGCTCCGTAGTCTGCAATTGTGATGAAGTAAATAATAATAACTTACAAGAGCAAAACCGATATTGTTTTTAGTTTCTATAGATTTTTTTTTTTGCCTTATTGTAACGCTACATAAAAACATGTATGTGTTCTTTACCCCTATTTTGCTCTATGTTGTAGTCACTCTTTATTTGTATAGTAAGGGAGGTACCTGCAGCATGAAACCATTCCTCACCACGCTTGTGATCATTTCGACGCCTGGTTCAACCTCTGGTCTTGACCTCTTCTTCTCCTTCCTGGTTTTTTGTCCCACTTTCCTTCTCTCCGTCTGTAGATGCTTGTGGTCTGTCGGACGTGGGGCATGTGGAGGGTCTGCAGGAGAAATCCCAGTGTGCTTTAGAGGAGTACGTGAGGAGCCAGTACCCCAACCAGCCTAGCAGGTTTGGGAAGCTACTGCTTCGCTTGCCGTCCCTCCGCACCGTCTCTTCTTCTGTCATAGAGCAGCTTTTCTTCGTGCGACTGGTGGGGAAAACACCCATAGAAACTCTGATAAGGGACATGCTGCTGACCGGGAGCAGCTTCAACTGGCCTTACATGCCTATTCAATAGAAGGAACAGGCCACAGTGCTGCTTCTAAGGTCAGAAAAATGTCCCACACCTCAAATCAAGTCATTTCAGTACGCCGTAAAATCTCTGTTGCTTCAGAACAAGGAAAAAACACTGCCAGTGCTATGAGATAATTATAGACATTTCCAATGTAAAAATAAGATCTCAATTTATGATATTCTCACACCACCTGCAATACCAGAGGAGTTATCCGCCTTACGCTGCATTGTGTCCCCATGTTTCTAGAAAAATGTTCCTGAAATAAATTCACCCACCTTACCGACGTTTTGCCCACTGGCAGATTTTTTTGTACTTGTTCGGGAAAAACTATATTTGACAAAATGAAATGACTGCTAATGACGGACTTTTTTTCTTTTGCTGTGTGGTGACATCTCACCGTCTTTGGTTTTTGGGATAACAATCAATATTTATTGGACCCTGTGTGTATATTTATCGTGCTTATAAATTATGTTTTGGTTCCTTTTTTAAATGTTTTCCGTATTTTTTTGCCCCGGCAAGTGAGAAAACTGCAGGGATTGTCTCGTCTGTTGTGTTTTTATTGTTTTTTGTTTCATACCTTCCAGACATGGCACTTTTAAAATAAAGGAACATTTTTAGAAAGATTTAACGCAGGTGTTTGGAACCCAACATCATCTGACTTTAACCTATTGGCTTAATTGTGTACAGACCGAATAGTGAGATTAATGCTCCGTTTGCATTATGGACATAGGCAGAATGGAAAGGACAAGAGCAAAACAATATATTTGGATAATGCACTTCCCACGATCAGTGTTAGGTTGCTCCAAGTAATGCATTACTCCTTTCATATGTAATATCATTACGTCCTCACATTAGTATTTCCATAAAAAAAAAATCCACATTACTTAATATCTGCGTTTTTTTTACCTTTGAAAATCAATATTTTTAAGTTCTCCTTTGACAACGTCACATTTCTCATCAAAGTAGTAAATAGTGACACTCAGAGAAATAGAACTCTTCTGTTATTTCTCACAAAGATGATGACATGTGGCAAAATAGATAAAGGGAAGGAATATTAGATAGCTGTACAATATTCATTTTTTTCTTATTTAGCGGAGTTAAAGGGGGTTATAATCCTATTCTTTTGACTGGTAACTTGTTACAGGGAAAGTCATGTTATTACTATAATGGATTAATGATTAATGCATTACAAAACCTTCATTTATTTCTTTTACACTGACTGTCTCCAAGAGATTTTAAAAGCACTGGGCCCAATGTATTCTGTAACTACAGTCTCCTATTGAACACTACACAGACTTCCAGTGCAAGCACAAATTGTATTTCAATATAATTTTCATGCATTTATGAGCCCAGGCCGCTTAAATGGCACAATAGACCACTGCAGGGTATTGCTGAACTGAAAGAGTGTGTGTGTGTGTGTGTGTGTGTGTGTGTGTGTGTGTGTGTGTGTGTGTGTGTGTGTGTGTGTGTGTGTGTGTGTGTGTGTGTGTGTGTGTGTGTGTGTTTGTGTATTTGTGTTTACCTCTTTTTGACAACCACTCTGATGTACTGTGAAAGCATATTGGTTAACATATTGGTACCATATTAAATTATAACTCAAGATTTATAAATAAAGTGTATTTGGTTTATTTTGACATTTTAATTCTATGTTGTTTATGTCTGCCGCCACTTTAAAGAGAGGACAAAATATGTGTATAACCTGTGAGTGTGTTAGCATGTACACAAGGTTGTGTACTGGAATTGGTAACACATGAATGCTGAACTTAGTTCCTGACAATATTGTCACTAATTAGACATTTGATATCAATGACAAGCCTCATGCGGACGCCAACATAGATTTAACTACATGCCTTATTTGAACAACTCTGCAGGAAACATTTAGCTTTTCTCCAGCATTTATGCATGGGTTTCATCCTGCATCTGAAACATATTTAAAATGCAGACAAAACGCACATCATGCAAACTATTAATCCCTGAGATGTATCATTTAGTTCAAAAGCAGATGCTTATTAGACAAAGTTCATTATTCGCACATTAATCACTATTTAAAATGTCTTTATCATAATGAAACAACCATCAAAACACACACAAAATAATATTTGTATTTAGGGAGTCATTTGGAAAAAGAATAACAGTGATTCAACTATTAGCGTAGTACTTTCAGTTAATACTACTTGTAATAGCTTGATGCTAACTTAACACATCTTAACAAACGTGCTTCTTGTGATTAGTGATTGTATTACTTCACAAAGGTGGTTAAAATCTGCATCAGACAGGAGAGCTGAATGAACATGGAATTATAATCCATGTCTGTGTTGCCAGATTGAGGAGGACATAGAGGATTAAAGCAGCTTCTTTGCTTCTTAGTGGACAGAGAGCTAATGAGGGGCCCCTGAGTGCTCTGTCACAACAGTTTACCCTGAGGAGGATGGAGCTGGGCGCTCCACGGCCCCTGGGTGTTCTGGGCCAAAGGGCCAACATAAAACAATGGAGCATTTTCCCACACACGTACACGTCCAAAAGAAGAAAATGCCAAGGAGTAGCCTACAGGGTGCAAAGGAGAAGGAAAATCAGTTGAGCTCGGGCTGCAGGGAAATAGCAGCACTGTTATTCCAATGGATTTCCATTTGCTTCCGTATTTACGTCATTTTACAAAAATTGATCTCGGTCATAAATAAGGGAGAGCCGCGGCTCTGCTGTTTTTTGGGAACTGAAGCTGGAGCAGTCGCCGCGCAGCATGGTTTGGACTCAGCCAATCAGCTTTCGGCATTGAAAGCGTGTAGCCAATCTGATCGCTCTTAGCATGTTTTTCTAAATATTAACATTTATCATGTCAAGTGAGGACTTGCTATTGAACCAGGCTAAGGCCCACATATCACAATGATAACAGATGTTCAACAATATAATATAATTTATGCAACATTTTGATAAAAATAATATTTATCCTACCCAAATGTTGTTGTTCTTTTGGTGGTGAACAAATATTATTATATTGATGTGCTAATTTTCTTGAGTACAACACTCTAATGTTTATGTATATACTAATTTAAAACCTTTTCTGTGATATTGACGCTTCTGAAACATTAAAAAAAAACTGGAAACTGGTGTTAAAAACAAGTAGCCTAAAATGTATTTTTAGTAAACTAGTTTCCTGAAGAGTAATGGTTTATGATTTAACAATGTATTATTTCTGACGCAAAATCTATATATAGTTTTTGTTTTTGTACTATTATATATTATGTCTTAAGTTCCTATAGTCTATACGTGATAACTGATAGGCCTAAGCGGGGAAGACATTGGAGACACTATCTCACCATTTTTGAAGTTTTAGCTTTTAAAAAAACATTGTAAAATCAAATTTTACATTTAGTTTAATTATTAAAATTACATGTGAATGTTAATATATAAATATTGTTTATTTTCTGCGCCGTGGCTGCCCTCCTGCAGTTTATCTGTGGTGCTGACTGCCGCGTTGGAGCCGTTTCAATGGCACGCTTTAAACCAATAATTACCACTCCAAAATCTAAAATGATGCCAAACTCGTTCACGATCCTCCACAAATTCTAATTTAAACACCATTAACTTCTTAGATTGTTTCGTTAACAAAATGTTACAGTAATAAATTGCAGATTTATCAAAAGAAGAGGTTTGAGAAAAATTGGGCAACGAAGTGAAAAAGGGCAAATAAAATTGACTCTAATATCTGTCCTAAAACACACAGTAAAACTTAATTTTGTTCCGTTACACAGCCTCATGAAAGTCAACCAAATCACATGTTATTTCTCTCGTGTGTCCCCGTTGCTTTTTTAAAATGTGTTTCACTGGTTTGGCGCATTTAATCAATATCTCCCGGTAAATTTGATTCATGTGGGAAACCTATTCAAACAAGAAAGCGCTGGCAATCATTTTATATAGACACAAACAATTTTGGTAAATGTTGTTACTGAAATATTAAGTTATGCTACTTTATAATATGTGTTCTAACTGCATACATTATTTAAGCCAATGGGCTACATTTTTACATTTCAAACACTAATTGTATAACCGAGTTGAGTTTATAATTTGTAACTTAATACACTGCTTTATTTCCCCCAAAATGTCAGTGGCATCATACACAGCTTCAGCTCCGATAGGCCTATAGACAGCTTCAGCAACGCTTCACCAGCTCGGTGGCCATATACGTGTTCAAAAAGCCAGGAGTTCAACATTTCCTCAAATCTAAATTTAATTTGTTCTCAAGTTTCTGTTGTGAACAGCAGGTCTAGATACGTAGAATGATAATGTTTTCAAAAGGAAACACACTAGCCTACATTTTCATTGAAAATAAAAAATATATATAAACGGCTAACAGTTGTACTGTTCTGATCAATAATATTTGTATTGCTACAATTTTACTGTTAACGACACCTTGATAAATGTATGATAATATAAAACGAGTTAAAGTTTCAAATTAGGCTATAAGCAGAATTACAAGTCAATACGATATGGTCTGAATAAAAAATGTGATAGGCCTATTCAATATACAGCAGAATTATATTTGAACATCATACAGCTCATTAATAGCCTACCCAGTCTTTAATTGTATAAATACAATCCCGCGTTTCACATTAATTTACCGACTAATTTATGTAGGCTAGGCTACTTCCAGTATTGATGTATTCCTTTGCGATGTATTCTGATAAAGGCATTGGTAAATCGCCCCAGTCCTGGACGTTATCCTCTTCATACAATGTCTGTACAAACTGTACAGTGGCTTAACATAACGCTTTTAATCAGATTTATTTTAGCCTAAAACTGTTAAACAAGTTATTCGAGGTTTTTAGCAGAACATATACAAAACAACCGCCTTTAATGTTATATAAATCGATCCAAGTTCACGTGTTGTCCTCATGTGGACTGCCTCGATTTATACGTGGCGTTATTGTGCGATTGTGTAGTTTCAGGAGAATAGAAAAACACTTTCATGGCTGAAATGAAGCTCCATCTGTATGAAGCTGGCATTAAACGGACCTGCAGGCTGAAACATCTGAGAAGTAATTCCACATTTTGTGGCCTGTTCAAAAGCAACAATCTGTGGGACACGTTTAACATGGAAACCTCCTCAGATCAGAGGAAAACATTCTTTAATGTTTTAAGGGACAAATAACTTCACTGAATTAAATACATTTTTGTCATTGATTTAAATGGTGGAAACTCGTTATATTGGGGGAAAGGCGGCTGGCTAGACATTTCCACTGAAGTCGAACCATAATTGTGACATTATCTTTCTATGTATCTCTATACATCTATCTGTGTCTGAATCTGAGCTGCTGAGAAAGAGAACAGGCTTTTTTATTCTTCTTTTATTTCTGCCCCTTGTCCCCAAATTGCCCTTTTAATCCTGTTCCATGTGTAAGACTGACATCATGCCACTCTGGCTCCCTGCTCTGATGTCTTCAGGCTGACGGTGTGAATTAAGGGGTTCCCCTGGCTCCTTCCACTGACCTCTGACCTAGGGCTGCCCTTTTCCTGACACAGGCTCAAGAGAAGGGGGGATATGATAGTGGTTAGAGATGCTGAAGGAGGATGAGCTGCAGCAGCATCCAGCCTTTAAATACAGTCAGCATGAGCGTTGATCTAAAATGCAGTTTCCTTCGTGAGCGATGCACATTTACACTTCATGCCACGCCTCAGAGACTCCATCTGATGCTCATAAACAAATTCTTAAAAGCATTGAATGTGGGAGGAAGGCTGTCTGTCGAGGAGCCCCTTTTTTTAAAAAGAAAACATTTCAGCCACCAAGGAGCGAGAAAAAGAAAAAAACACACGCACCAATCAACTCAAGGACTGTACAAAGACCGGTCTGTCGTTGCTAAGAGACAGATGCAGAGTAACCTCCATGAGAAACCTGACCATGACCCTTCCTCCTCCGCCTCCTCCTCCCGAGCAGTCTTTCCCTCTCCTACCCAATTACTACTGCACATTAAAGCCCACCTCTGTCACAATAAAGCTGAGAGGGGGGTGGGGTTTGTGAAGCTGTACAGAACATTTAAGATTATTCCTTAAAGCAAACCCTTTATATTCCACACACCAGAATGAATTTAGAAATGTTAGTGTTTTTACCCAGGCTGGTGTATGGGCGGAGTCAGGGCGGGATAAGAAGAGAGAGGGTGGGGGTGGGCTAGTGAGGCTGTCAGGCGAATGAGAAGATGGAGATTTGACAGAGAGGTGGCGGAGAGTTCGGGTTATACGAGGCCTGTCGATTAGTGCGTTTGCGGCTGACAGGTGGAATCCTAGGGACACGTCTGTCACTGCCACTGCTGCCAGGCCGGCCCAGCACCAACACAGGAGACACCCATGGGCGGGAACATGCTCCTCACAGAGGAACCTCATTGGCCCAGGCCTGAAGCCCCCGCCTCCCAGTCGGAGCCTAGATTAAAGCTTTATTGTTCACAGAAAGCAGGGCGAAAGT